TTCAGTAGTGGCAGCTCTTATTAATACTATTTTCCCTGGTGCTCGATCCGATGCCTAGCCATACATTTAAATATAACAGCCGTTTTGACTGCTATGATGTGTTATTTAAACCACACCCTCTCCTAAGGCTGCAGGGAAACCCCTTCAGTATGTGGCCACAAAATGGCAAAACATGTTTGTCTTCTCAAATCTCCACTGTTCTGAGGATATTATGTGTGAAGAAAATTTGAAGAACTCTGTTTGGTTAGGTAAGGCTTCTTTCATTGAATGGCCAGTGGCATTCCTAGACTCCCCCCCAAAAGTCAACAACAGGGATAAATATCAGTCTTTTTATGTTTTCACACCATACAAGATTGGCACTAGGATTTTAGCCTTCAGTTCACCTCCAGCTCTGCAGGTCACTCTGCCTGAAAATATATCAAGTTCCAAGATTCCTACAAACAGAGTAAGTACTGAGGTGTTTAGAATACAGCTGAGACTGACTCAGTGTCTCCACCTCCTCTGATGACCTCAGCCAGTGAGGACATTTCCTCAGGGATATGCGGCCTGCGTGAAACCCCCTGTTGTGGTTTACGTAGCACTTAGAGTCCTTTATGTCCCAGTTCATGACACCCAAGGGCCTATAAGAGGGGTGCTTTATCACCTAATTGTCTAGACCAGGAATATAGGCTATTACTATACAGGTTTAAATGCAGGGAAAAGAATCAGTCAGGTGAAGATGTGTTGTTCATAGAGGAATTCTCCCAAATACCTGTTTCCAAGGCAAAAATCTTTAATAAACAGAGATAATTAATTCCTGGGAGGACCAAGCCTTAGATCGAAAGATAGGCCCTTTACAGTTCTCAGCATCCTTGCTGTACACTCAAGAAGTAGCTGTTTTCTTATTTTCAGAGCAGGGTAAGGGGTTGGTTATTAAAAGATAGAAACATTTGTGTCTCTTGTTCTGTAACTGTAGAGCTAGGTGCTGATGATTAGAAGTTCCCTTGGTTTCAAATTCAGCATCTCATTTTTTCCCCCCTTTGACTTGAATTTCTAAGGCATGGGAGCTCTGAAAATGCCTGGATGAACCCATTTGGATACATTTCTGCCACTTTCACATTCTCTGCTTCCTGTAATATTGTCTGGTTGGTAGGGTTTTTCAATATCCATTACACAATATGATATTTGAATAGCTGCATAGAATCGTTATTTCCTATTCCTGAGTATGTTGGACAGTCTCAGCGACAGAGGCAACCACGGTAAGTTAACCAGACTTGCTGGTTTTTAACCCACTTTTTACATTTCCATTTTCTATCAAGGGGTTTATAATTAAAATCACTGAAGCATTCCTTTCTGATATTTGACAGGGATCACTTTGAGATTTTTTGGATGCTTTGCAGAAATATTTGTTATCCTCACTGTATATGGATATATCTATGTTACCAGGAATAGGTTTGATTTCTATGGACCCCTCAGTCAGTTTCTAGGCCTTCAAGTGGGCGACACCGCAGCAGTGCAGCAGATTGGAGCTGGATATGTTGCCGAGGGTTTCCTCCAGGGGTGGGCAGATGGTGAGATGGTTTGGCTAGTCAGAGACTGGCTCATGTTCATTCATTTATTTCCTTGAGATAGTGCTCCGAGTTTGATAATTTACAGGGATGAAAGGGGCGAAAACCCTACCTTGTACTGACAGGAGGAGGCATGGAAAGCAGGTGAGAATAAAGAAAAACAATTTGCCGTGAAGCTGGGACAGGGTGTGTGACATTTACTGTGGTCAAGACAGGTTAGCATGGGACAGAGGGAAGGACAACGGCATTTGGAATTGGTCTCCCGAAGGGAACCTTCAGCCCTGAAACAGATCCATAAGAAGAATGCATTAAAACGTAGGATGTGTGGGGAAAGAGTGTGCCCTCCACTGTGGTTGGGAATCTATAATAAACTCCAGGCCCAGGGGCACTTTCTATTCTGACTCCGTTCAAACTTTCCTGGGTCTTGTTCCAACCAGGTAAGACCTTATATCTGCCCCAATGGATTGTAGTCCCAGCAATATAACTGAATTTCTGCATCCCTGAACTTAGTCCCTTTTTAGAGAGTCAAGACAGGTATTGCTAAAGATAAGAGGTGAAAGTTAATTCCCTTGGTGACCTTAGGATGTTTTTTTTTTCTTGTACACAACTTGTCTTAAAGGCATCTGAAGAAAGGCAAGGTGTGGTGGTGGGAAAAAATTACTATGTTGGGCATTAGAAGATTTGTATTCTTGTTGTTATTTGATACTAATCAATTAGCTGTATTTCCTTGGACTTCACTTCTCTGGGCTTTAGTTTCCTTATCTTTAAAGAAGATATTAGTTGATAAAATGCAAGTTTCTGAAGGATTTCTAATGTACAACAACTCTAGGGTCTTGTCCAGTGGACTGTCAAACTCATTAACATTTCATAGGTTAGCAAAAGCACTGCCACAGATTTCATATGGTCACGGGGGTGGTTAGATACCAACCGCTGTCCAAACTCTAGAGACAGACATCCTGGATTTGAATACAGGTTCCTCTACTTTTTAAATTTTTATTTCTTTTTAATCATTATGGACTTTGGGCAAGTCATTTACTTTCTCTTAATCGCAGTTTTATTTTCTTTAAAATATAGGTAATAGTGTACCAATCTCAAACCATTGTTGTGAAGATTATTGCATGTAAAGTACTTAGTATAGGGCCTAGCACATGGCAAAGACTCCACAAAAATTAACTACCATTGTAGGAACTACACGGTGCGAAAATAGATCTTTGCATGCTATTGAGAGGGGCAAAAAGCAGATTTATAATAAAAGTTTGCATTTCAGAATGTTTAACACATGGAAGAAGTTTGTCTGCTCAGGTCCTTGCCTTTCAGTTGCAGCCCGTGGGCCCTTTTATGACGAGACCAGGGTCATTCTGCTACATCAGCACTTTCCTCCACTTCTCATTTCTTTAAAAATATGGGTATCAGGGAATTTGAGTGGTAATACGCACACTACTGGTCTTTGAACTAGGACAGAAAGAGAACTGATCCTGTGTTTGAGTTTGCCAATTAACATAGGACATCAAAGACATCAAATCTGACCTATCTGTTTCTGCGTGGTGTGGGACAGAAGGAGGCAGATGAAATTGTAAAAGTGTTTTAAAAACATATTCTAATTACTTCAGGATTTGCAATAAGCTCAAGTAATAAATGAAATCATGATGATGAATGAGTTCAGTTTGTGGTTTTCCGTCTGGGTTTGATCATGAAATCTAACCTTTGGCACACACCTTCAGGAAGTTATAAAAACATATTCGTAGTCGATTGTTGACTCTCCCAAGGGCCATCTCCTCTAGAGGACAGTTGGCAGTTGGAAGTGTACTCAACTTTCTTCTCAAGGGTTCTTGTCCATGGAAGGAGTCTCATCAGTGGGCGATCCGGAAGGGAGGCCACCGTCCTGGGGCGTGGAACTCTAAGGCTAGCTTCTCAATGCAGCGTCTGTGGGATGATCTGGAAAATGTTGCCTTTCCATATACCTCCTTACGGACCTTGTTCACGTGTAACATGGACCCTTCATGCCTCTGTGCTTTAGGAGTACCTTAAGACACAGGGAATAAGGGATCTGAGGTCCAGCAAAAAGTGAGAGTTAATAATAACAAAATTTAGTTTTAAAGTATATCTTGAAGTTTGATTGAATGATATGTGTATTCCTCATCAAATACGTTATCTGGTTGATTATTTAGACTTGACTTATTGACTATCAGAATCAATGATTTAAGTTCCTTTTTTCTTTGTTTTTTAAAGGTAAAGCAGTCCTTCCTGGAGTTTTTATCACTCATACCACATAGATGGAGAGCAAAAGGAATGTGACTGAATTCATTTTAACAGGTCTTACCCAGAACCCCCAAATGCAGAAAGTAGTGTTTCTGTTATTTTTGGTTCTATACGTGGCAACACTGTCAGGCAACCTGCTCATTGTGGTTACCATTACCAGCAGCCAGGCTCTGAGCTCCCCCCTGTACTTCTTCCTGGCCCACCTTTCCTTGATAGATACAATCTATTCTTCTTCTTCAGCTCCTAAGATGATTGTGGACTCCCTTCACGATAGGAAGGTTATCTCTTTTAATGGTTGCATGGCTCAAGTCTATGCAGAACACATTTTTGGTGCTACTGAGATCATCCTGCTGACAGTGATGGCCTATGACCGCTATGTCGCCATTTGCAAACCTCTGCACTATTCCGCCATCATGAGCCACAGGCTGTGCACCCTCCTGCTGGGAGTGGCCTGGGCTGGAGGATTTCTCCACGCAACCGTTCAGATCCTCTTCATAGTCTGGCTGCCCTTCTGTGGCCCCAATGTCATAGATCATTTCATGTGTGACTTGTACCCTTTGCTGAAACTCGTCTGCATGGACACTCATATCCTTGGTCTCTTTGTTGCTGCCAACAGTGGGTTCATCTGCTTATTGAACTTCCTCCTTCTGATGGCGTCCTATGTGGTCATCTTGCGCTCCCTAAAGCACCACAGCTTGGAGGGGAGGGGCAAAGCCCTCTCCACCTGCGTCTCTCACATCACAGTGGTCGTCTTATCCCTTGTGCCCTGCATATTTGTGTATCTGCGCCCAGTAACCACGCTGCCTGTGGATAAAGCTGTCGCTGTCTTTTATACTATGGTGGCCCCTATGTTAAATCCCTTAATCTACACACTCAGAAATGCTGAGGTAAAAAATGCTATGAGGAAGCTCTGGAGGAAAAAAGTGACTTCAGGTAAAGATTAAACAGAACCATTGATCTGTGGGTGAAGCTATCCACTCTAAGAAGAGGTTGGATAATACTTGTAGATAGTCACTGAAGCTCAGAGCTAAAGCTTGGACCGGAATCCAAACTTACTGTCTCCCATCCCACACCTTTGTCATCATAAGTTATTGCTGCTTAATAAATAAATATTTATTACCTGGAAATTTGAAATATCTTTAGAAGGTAAAAGGTATAAATGTAGAACATTGGATTGGCGTTTATTATGTAACATTAAGATGCTGGTTTCCACTGGGATTCCAATCTTTTGGAGAAGGTGTATTTGTTGCCCACTGGGTGGGGAAATTCAACGCGTTGCCTTGGGCCAGGACTAGCTCATGGTAGCTGGACAATGACTAGCGGGCAAGAGAGGGACAGGCAAGGTGGGAGCTTCCCACTGGGGTGCTGGTGGGCTGAGGCTGGTGAGCAAGGAACTGAGGCCTGGACTGACAAGCAGGAAACAGCCCTTGGGGGTGCAGGTGGACCAAGGCTCTAGTCATTCATTGGCCACTGCTGGGTCCTGGGACGGTAGGGCCGTGAGCTGTTAGCAGCCCGGGCACAAGGGAGCACTGGCCTGAAGGGGACTAGGGTTGACCCAGCCGTGCCGCCAAACTGCCTCCTCACTGGCACCACCTGAGTCAGGCCTCCGTCCTTTCACACCCAAATCACTTCAGGAACCTCCTAACTGTGCCTCTGCCGGCAGCCTTGTCCCCCTCAGTCCACTTCCCGCACTGTAACTGGAGTTAGCGCTCTAAAATCAAATCTAACTGCACCACTCCCTGGCTTAAAAACCTTCCAGTGCTTTCTCCATGGTATTTAGCACTGAGCCTTAACACGATCATGAAACCCTTCTTGATCCCCTCCATTCTTATCTCTCCAACTTCATGTCTTACCAGTTTCCCTTTTACAAGCTCAGTGGCCAACATGGTGCCCAGCACCCAATGGGAGGTTCAAGAAAGAATTGCTTAATGAGAGGGTGAATTGATAACCACAGCTTATTGAGTTGGTTAGGTTTCCTGCACCCTCCTTTTCGCCTCCTGGCCGTTGTTACGTATTCCGTCTCCTAGGTCACTGTCCTCCAACCTCATGCCTGTTCTCTCTGCTTACCAACTTCATTTCACCCACTGAGTCCTGTTTTTGTTGCCTTTTTGCCTAGAAATCTTTTCCCAACCCAGCAGGCCTGTGTAGTGTGTCCCTCCAGTGTGGTCTCATAGTGCTCTGTGCTTCCACTATTTTATTATTTATAACACTGTGTTGTAATTTCTGCTCCCTCTGTGGGGACTTTCGATGTCCCTAAGCTCTGCGAAGGCAGGAATTGTGTCTCTTTTTACTCACGGCTGAAGCCCAGCCATTATCAACATGCCTGGTATATTTCTTGGGATCAAAAATATTTGTTGATTAATGAATGAAAGACACAAGAAATGAAAGCAATATATTTATTCTGAAATTGCTTTGTGTAGATGGAGCCACCTATTTTTAAAAACAGCTTTTAATCATAAAATATAACCAAAAGGTAAGCCGATGAACAGAGAACTGTAACATAAACAGCTCATATCTATTCATAAGATAATAAAGCCTGGTGGATAGCAGGAGGAATATCAAAGTAAACTCTTGGCGTATATGCTGAGAATCGTAGTTTCAGTCTCCTTCTCAGTGAAAGCAGGAGTGAAAACAAATCGTAGTTCCCCTAAGAGGTCTCACCAGAATTCTCCTTAGAGCTGAAACATCAATGTAGGAAAGAATTCCCTAGCCTCCAATACTACTTTTTTTGCTCTTCCTTTTATTGAATTCATTTATTTTCCTTTATACTCTTATTCATTCATTCATTCATTCATTCGTTCGTTCGTTCGTTCGTTCGTTCGTTCGTTCAGTATTTGTCATGCACCAGACATTGTGCTACCTTGTAGAAACTATCGTTGTATAGCAGGCAAACACTTTATAGGGTGTGACTGTACACTGAATAGATAGAAATTCCTGTATGACATCAAAATCTTCTTTTATTTGAATCACTGTTTCTGATGGGCTCTCAACATAAGATGAGTGATATGAGCCACACAAAATGGTCTGAAACCTGCAAGGAAATTTGGAAACATGGCGTAATCTTCATTTCTTACCCATCAGAGGTTAAATGGCCGATGCTTTCATAGCCCTAAAGTAGTTACATATTATAATGTTACAGGCAACATATGACAATCAATTGTGATATATAAAAATAAGCACAGTCATTAACTAACAATTACTAGATTTTCAGTTATAGACAATAATATATTGTCTGTGTTGTGTCCAGCACAGTCCCTGACTCAGTAAATGGTAACTACCCTCGTTACCTGATCTGTCATTATTGCCTGGCAGTTAGTAACAGTTAAGGGCGTGATCTGGGAAATGGGTCGTTTCTGGTTCCTGGCTTTCTGATACATCTCTTTTTGATTCCTTTACCTTTCTGTCAGTTTCCTTACCTGTAATGTGGTGATAATAGCAGTGCCTGCCCCCTCGGATTGCTACAGAGGTTATTGGTCAGTAACAATAAACTTCATTATTTCTTTAATTTGTTATTAGATGGAAGGCCTATGAACCACATACATAATTGAAGCTGGTAAAACTAAATCTTAATTTGGGAGTATTTTTAAATATGCAAAGAGTGGTCCTAGGGTATGTTTTGCTCTCTTTCCTTGCATCCATTTCTGCTTCCCTCACTGTAGAATCTATGATTTATATAGCAATTAATTTTTTTCTTTATCCCAGAAGTATTTATTGCCGAGATCATCCAAAACATCCTTGGATCTTTACCTCAGATGAATCAGTGTTGGGCTTTAGCACATTTATTTGTCACTTGAAATAATTTCCTAATGGCATCTTTCATCTGGGAATTTCTCAAGGTATAGATTAAAGGATTCAACATGGGAGTTATGATAGTATAGAATACGGCAACTGCTTTGTCAATCGGTAAAGTAGCTGCCGGCCTCATATACACAAATATGCAGGGCACAAAAAATAAGACGACCACTGTGATGTGGGAGACACAGGTGGAGAGGGCTTTGCGCCTTGCCACTAAGCTGTAGGTCCTTAGGGAGCGCAGAATGACCACATAGGAGACCATCAGGAGGAGGAAGTTTAACAGACAGATGAACCCACTGTTGGCAGCAACGAAGAGCCCTAGGGTGTGGGTATCAGTGCAGGCGAGATTCAGTAAAGGGTTCAGGTCACACATAAAGTGATCTATGATGTTAGGGCCACAGAAGGGTAACCTGAGGACGAAGAGGATCTGTATGGCTGCGTGAAGAAAGCCTCCCACCCACACCACTCCCACGAGCAGGCCACACACCCGCCGATTCATGATGGTCGTATAGTGCAAGGGCTTGCAGATGGCCACGTATCGATCGTAAGCCATCACAGTCAGCAGGATGCCCTCGGCACCTCCGAAAAAATGTTCCCCGAAGATCTGGGTCATGCATCCATTGAACGGGGTGGTCTTCTTTTCATGAAGCGAATCTACGATCAGTTTGGGGGTGTTGACCGAGGAATAGCAGGCGTCAATAAAGGAGAGGTAGGCCAGGAAAAAGTACATGGGCGATCCCAGTGACGGGCTGGCATTGATGGTGACCACGGTGAGCACATTTCCTACCACGGTGATGGTGTAGACGACCAAAAACACAACAAATATGATTTTCTGCATCTTCGGGCTCTCTGTGAGCCCCAGTAGAACAAACTCTATCACACGTGTCCTGTTCTCCATGTATTTCAAGTGGCAGTTAGTTACATTACCTGAAAAGAAAATTATTTTTATTCATGAAACCTTGAATTTATTAAACTTTGCATCCTAATATACAATAAATCCCTGGATTCTATGGATTTGTGAATCCTTTTGAGGTGTGTGTGTTTGTGTGTGCGTATTGGAAAGAAAGTTTTTGAGGTCTTGAAGGTACTCAGATTGCCTCCCAGGTGCAGTCTTTGTTAAGACTGCAGACACGAGGAACTTTGTAAACACACGGGCAAGACTCCACCTATATACATTAAATCATCCCAGATAAGCAAGGGTCTAACTTGAAGCAGAAGGTTGTACATGTGGCAGCCACGCCTGGAAGGGAGGCAGTGGATGGGTGTAAAGTCTATAAGTGCAAAGCTTCTGGAATTTTCCTTAATCTCCAGGAGATGGGGAACCATGAAAGATTATTGAGCATGTATATGAGACAGGATGAGAGGAATGTGAAGAAGGGAGAATCTTAGATATTATTCTAGTAGAGATCTCTGTGTGTTTTGGATGCAGTGGGCTGAGGGGGTTGAAGGCAGACTCGGGAATCCCAGTAGCATAATATTTATAGTAGTTGAATAAGAAATAACAGGGCATTGATGATAGGAATGTAAAGAATGGAGCTACTTAAAAGTAGTTCTAATACATGCTTTCTAAATTCAATGACTTTATAAGAGCTAATATACAGTTTTAATTGATTGATATGTGTGTATTGTATTATAGCAAATGCTTTGATAACACAATCTTTTTTTATATAATAATAACAATAACCTGTGTGGTTGGTATAATAACACCCATTTTGCAGATAAGGAAACAATCTCAGAGACTAATATTAATAATAACAATGATGATAATATTAACTAAAACATACGGATCACTTACCGTGACCTGTTTTTTTTGCAGACACTTGATTATTAAACCTCACCACAAACCTACAGATGCTTACTACTATCATTGTTGTATTTATTTTATACATAATCAGCATGGAGAAGTTAGGATCCTGCCAAGGTTGAGCAGCTGAGGGCAGAGTGAAGATCAGGTCAGGTTGTTAATTTCTTCCTGTCAAATTCTTAACCCATGCCCTTTATTGTTAGATTATAATAAACAATGTTGACCTAATAATCTCTTTTTGATATGACCATAATCATTACAATTACTTTAATGCTACTTCAGAGGTAAGTTTATGTGGGGGAATTTCGTCAGCACCCCCTTCCCCCCCATACCACCCCACACAGTGACAACGGGAGCTCCCGAACGTTAAGAAAAATGTGGCACTGCTTTCATTGAACAGCCCTTTATCTTGGCCTCTCCCTTCGCCCCAAATGTTGCCTCCTCTAACCCCTTCCAAAGCATGAGCCCCCAGACTCTTCCGCAACATATCAAAACAACTGTCCCAGTGGTAACGTGCCGTGGTTTGACCACAAGAAAGACCAGATTCGACTCGGGTTGCGATTTCTTTTCTCTGGGTGCGTTAGCTTCGCACCTCACATACTTGCTTCCTCACCTGTAGAGTGAGAATAGTAATGTCCACCTAACAGGTTGTTATGAGAATTGCCTGACATTTGAAGGATCAGGGCGAGAATGAAATATTACTGTATCTGAAAAGCGTTGAAAAATAAAGATTACTATGCATGCAAGGCGATAATTAACAAGCATCAGTACCATTGAGAAACTTACCTTGGCTGTCTTAGATGATCTCGATGATGTTTGGGGGTGTCGCAAGACAATCCCAGACTCAAATGGACAGCCTCTAGTAATAAGTAACTTTCAATATGAAAGATATGTCACATTTGGGAAGAGCCTATCAAGGCAATTCACTGTCACATTAATAGTTGTTAAGAAATTGTATATATTGACCCTGTGAAATTTTTTTTGGTGTATCAATTATACTTCATTAAACCTCTTAAAAAAGGGAATTTTTTCCACCTAAAGCCTCAAAACTTTATCACAGAAAACCTGTTCAAACCCTGTTTTCTGGTTTTGAATTTAGAATGGGTTCACTTGAAATACTGTGGAAATAGTCTTACGCAGATGGCTTTGGCCCTGCAGGGCAAGAGACGCACAGTGTGGAGGAAGCGCATGCAGATGGCTCGCTCTGCCTGTGACCACTCTTGCTCTGGACCAACACACACACTGTCTCCTTGCCTTGTGCAGATACTTAAAGGGGTTTCTATAATCCTTCAGGCACCTTGTCTTGTAGCTACTGCTTTCTCTCCCAGGAATTAATTATCTCCGTTGATGGAAGGGCTTTGTCTTCAAGGCAGGTATTCTGGGGAGATGCGCTGAAAACACTAATTCTTCAGTGGGGATTGTCTCCTCTGCCCTTGGAAGCTTAGCGTGAAGGGACCTTCCTCTATATGAACCTGTGCTGCTGAGGAAGCCGAATGCCACGTGGGCAGCTGGCGTAGTGCCAGTGTGTGGGCCTGGGGTGAAGTTCCCCTGTGGACTCAGGCCACAGAAGAGTGGCTATTTTCTTATTAATATTAATTCATTATTGGAAAACCACCATTGATTGCTTGAGAGCTAGATCAGTGAGGTCATAAAATGAATGGCAGTCATTTTAAAGTCCTTGACTCTAAAAGCTGTTCCCCCACGCCCCAGATTTATTGAAGTATCCTGCACAAATTAGATTGTACATACTTAAGGTGTATACCTTGATATTTTGGTATAAGTACACATTATGAAATAATCACTACACTCAAGCTAATAGGTATTTCACATATTCATCATACATCATTACTATTTTTGTGGTAACGCTTAAAATCTAGCAAATGTCAAGTATGCAGTACAGTATTGTTAAATACAATCAGTATTGTTAAATATAATCGCACTGCTGTACAGGAGATTTCCAGAAACTATTCATTTTGCATAACTGAGACTTTGTTTCCCTGACCCACATCTTCGTATTTCTCTCTTCCCCAGCCTCTGGCAACCACCATTATACTCTGCTTCTATAAGTTAGACGATTTTCCACATATAAGTAAGGTCAAGAAGTATTTCTCTTTCTCCGTCTTATTTCACTTAACATAATGTCCTTTAGGTCCATGTTTCACAAATGGCAAGTTTCATTCTTTTAAAAGACTATATAATATTCCACTGTACATATAGACCACACTGGCCATTCATCCATCAATGGACATCTCAGCTGTTTCCGTATATTGGCTGTTGTGACTAATGCTGCAGTGAACATGAGTGCAGAGATCTCTTTGAGATACTGATTTCAAGCCCTTTGGATATATACCCAGAAGTGGGGTTAATGGGACAAAAGTAGGTCTATTTTTGATTTTTTGTGAACTCTCCGTATTATTTTCTGTAATGGCTGTGCCCATTTATATTCCCTCCAACAGTACAGGAATGTTCCCTTCTTTCTACAGCTTTACCAACACTTGTTATCTTTTATCCTTTAGTAATGATACTTCATTGAGGTTTCAATTGCATTTTGCTGATGATTGGTGCTGTTGAATACCATTTTTTTTTTAAACCACCAAACCAGCACTGCAAGAAAGGCTAAAGGGACTGTTGTAAGAAGAAGAAATATATATATAGAGAGGAACATGGGCATAAAGAGTTAAAATGGCAACAAATAAGTACCATCAATAGTAACCTTAAATGTAAATGGCTTAAATGCTCCAATCAAAAGACATAGGGTAGCTGAATGGATAAGAAAACATGACCCAAATATATGCTGTCTACAAGAGACCCACCTCAGAACAAAAGACACACACAGACTGAGAGTGAAGGGACGGAAAAATTTCTCCATGCAAATGGAAATGAAAAAAAAAAAGCTGGGGTAGCAATACTCATATCTGACAAAACAGACTTTGAAATGACGGCCTTAACAAGAGACAATGAAGGTCACTATGTAACACTAAAGCGATGGATCCAACAAGAGGATATAACCCTGGTAAACATATGCACCCAATACAGGAGCACCTAATTTATAAAAAAGTTCTGGAGGACTTTAAGGGAGAGATTGACAGCAATACGGTCATAATAAGGGGCTTTAACACCCCACTGACTTCAGTGGATAGATCTTCCAGACAAAAAAACCAACAAGGAGACAGTGACTCTAGATGACACACTAGATCAGATGGATTTAATTGGCATTTACAGAATATTCCACCCCGAAGCTGCAGAATATACATTCTTCTCAAGTGCACACGGGACGTTCTCAAAGACAGACCACATGTTAGGACAAAAAACAAGTCTCTACAAGTTCAAAAAGATTGAAATCATATCAAGCATCTTCTCGGGTCACAATGGCATGAAACTAGAAATCAACTACAATAAAAACACCCCAAAACATTCAAACACATGGAGGCTGAATAGCATGTTATTAAATAATGACTGGGTTACCAATGAGATCAAGGAAGAAATGAATACCTTTTTATAATAAATGTCACGGTCTTTGTTGCTTTCTTCACTTTTTCATCAGTGCCCCATTTCTGTCTGACTTTTAAAGATTCTATGATTTACACTTATTATTCAACTATGTAGATATTATATTAGGAGGTCATGACAAACTTTCAGGATTCTGAGTAAAGTTCCCAAATTTATGCAAGATGGATGAGATTCACTCTTTAAACAATTTACCTTAAAAGTATAAATGTCTCCAAAGTGAAAATCAGTTTAAGCAAAACCCCCAAATTTAATAAGCTTTTTCTGACAAATAAAAAATCTGTAATACAATAATTAGTAATTGTAATAAAAACTTGTTATTTACTACAATTTGACCAGTGCTACAAAGACAAGTTATTGTTTCATCCCCATAGGAGCCTGATGAAACATAATGTTATCCTTGCTTTCCAGAAGAATGAACTGATGCTTGGAAAGTTTGGTTTACTGTATGTTGCAGAACTAGATGCCTGAGTAGGATTTCCACCCATGTTTTTTTATTCTCACCTGAGGATACTTTTTCCATTGCTTTTCAGAGAGAGTGGAAGGGAGGGACAGAGAGACACAGAGAGGGAGGGAGAAGGAAACATCGCTGTACATCGATGGGTTGCCTCCTGCACGCACCCCGACCAGGGCTGGGGATCAAACCTGCAACTGAGGTACGTGCCCTTGGCCGGAGTAGAACCAGGGGCCCTTCAGTCTGTAGCCTGATGCTCTAACCACTGAGCCAAACAGGCCAGGGCTCCACCCGTGTGTTTTGGCTTTAGAACTTGCAATCTTAAACGCAATGGTACGTATCATAATAGTGACACATCCCACGTAACACTTTCTAGCTAAGGGAGATGGGCAATAAGCAAATAAACCTAAAAAACCATGCTACATTCAGAGTGAAAAGTGCTTAAAAAAGTGATGTGATGCAGTGACTCAGAGAGCAGGGGGCCACTTTAGAGGGTGCGGTCAAGGAATTGACAGCGTTTATCAGCTGTGTCCAGGGATGAGAGACAGTGAGCTGCAGGTCAGGATTTAGACAGGAGAGTAAATGCATATTTTGTTTCTGCCCAGACTGGACTTTCCCCCTTTGGTGATTTGACCTGAGTTACTCCTTTATGACCTCCCCCAACCCCCAGAGGGCATGGCTCTATCAGGCCTGCCCTGCATGGTGATTATCCTGGTGGCATCTCTGGAGATGCAGAATCTGCCCTCGGTACTACGCTTAAGGCCCCAGTGAATTTAATTAGAGGAGAATCGCCCTTGGAGATGCACCAGCTGAATGGCTCGGGAACCATTCAGTGAAGATAAAGTGTTTGCAGACCTTGGCCCTCACCTCAGAGAGGGCAGTGGCCATCAGTATTCACAGGGCCAGCTTTTTCAGGAATTGAAATGATGGGCTCACAACATAAAGTTGTCGAAACTTCTCTAGAGTATGCATGAGATTTCTCTCCGTGCTCCAGACAGCCGAAAGCTCAGCGGTGCTGTGCGAGAAGGCCGGGGAAGCTGGCCGGGAGCGGGCTGTTGGAAAGGCTATTTCACTCCGTATTTCGCTTTTATTGCTCTAGAGCGCACACGGTAAAATATTTATCTAATCCATGCACAGTTTTCTCTCTCATCAGAATGTTGATTTGACACTTGTCTGTTATTGGGACCAGTTCTGCCGGCGAGGAGTGCTTTGGGTCTCTGTCACAGTCAGAGGGAACCCGGTTTCCTCTCAGCAGGGACAGAGCGGGTCACATGGAAGCAGTTCGCGCTCCGGGGCGGTGCCTGCGATATCTCGCTGTCCGTGTCCACGGAGGCGGCCCCCGAGCATGAAGGACAAGGGAGAAGGCCCGGGCCCAGGCCGGGAACTGGGTGGCTCTCGTCACGCAGGTAACTCAGCGGGCGCGCTGATGCATCAGGGCCCGGAGTCGGCCTTGGAGGACGCAGCGGTGGTGGGAAAAGTCACCGTCTTCTGAAAGCTCTCCTGTGATGGGCCTTGGGGGCATTCTGCTCAGTGAAATAAGGCAGTCACATAAAGACAAGGACCGTATGCTTTCACTTCTATGTAGAATCTAATGAACAAAATAAACAAATAGAAACAGACACAGATGCAGAGAACAGGCTGGCAGCCGTCAGAGGGCAGGGGTGGGGTGGCCGGGTGAAAAAGGCGAGGGGATTAAGCAAAAACCCCAAACCTCATAGACAGAAAACAGTATGATGATTACCAGAGGAAAAGGGGGTGGGAGGAGACAGGAGAGAGGAAAGGGGAGATAAATGATGATGGAAGGAAACTTCGGGTAATGAACACACAATACAATACACAGATGATGCATTATAGAGTCGTACCCCCAAAACCTGTATAGTTTTATTAACCAGTGTCATCCCAACAAATTTAATTGCCCAGAGAGCGCTAACTTTTTTTTCTATTGGGAGTTTTGATTCCCCCCTACATTGGATTTATTTGATGTACCCAAGTCTTAAGTTTCTAAATAAAAAAAACCATAAAGTTCTATATAATTCTCATATTCAGCCACATCCTTTTGATTACTAAAATATATGGGGATTAATTCAATTTTGTAATACTCTCTTGGATATTTTCATACTATAAAGATCCAGAATAGATTTGCTTTTCTAATATCAGTATTCTTTTTAAAAAACTTTATTTTTCAATTACAGTTTACTTTCAATATTATTCTATATTACTTTCAGATCTACAGCAAAGTGCTTAGAAAATCATGAACTTTAGTATTCTTGGAAACTAATTTTAAGTATAACTATTTGGAGGTATTTTAATAGGTAGATATTTCTAAATCTTGTGATAGGTTCAATTAATGTGTTCTCTAAGCATTGTTTGTTAATCTATTAAAAATTAGAGAATGCTGCAGCATCAGTAGAACTTGATTGAGTGATTTTCAAAAATCCAAGGTCATTGGGTAGTAAGAAAACTCTTCAATTTCTACTTTTCTGTTTACAGGTGAGTTTCAGCATCTTGCATGTTTTTTGGCCATTTCGATTTATTTTTTTCTTTATTTGCCTGTTTATATGGTTACCCACTTTGCTATTGATTTGTCTTTCATTTGTTATTTACTTAGAGCTCTTTGTCTATTTTAGATATTAACCCTATGTACATCCTCTAAAATGTAATTTTTCCCCTCAAACTACTTTGGTCTATAGACTTTATGGTGTCTATTCCTAAATCCTTTGAACAATTTGATATTGACTGTATGGGATGTCAGTGATAAGAAGATTCTCTCACCTCTAGACTAGAAAGTCCTCTCTTTTATTAACTAGAAAGTAAACATAAAGTAAATCTTGCTTTAGTTTTTCATTAAACCTTTAATCAGCTTTTGTTCTTGTATAAGGCATAAGCTACATGTACACTTTTATTAGCTTCCATTAAAAAGCTGCTTGTGGCAACCCACTTATTTGATGTCTCCTTTCCCCACATGCATCTCGAATTACTCCCCTCTCCACTCGTCTGTGAGATTGCCGAGGCCAGGGCCATGTTTCAGTCGGCCTCCTACTATAATCTCTGAGATCACTGCAATGCAATAAATCTTTATGCCTCTTTGTTGAATGAATACACAACTTATCTTAAGATTTCAGGAAGTCTCGAGTAATAATTATATTTACAGGTAACTTGTCCTGAGCTCTGGCGTAAGACGTACAGAAAGACCCATGGACCAAAGGAACAACGTCACTGAGTTTGTCCTGTTGGGGCTCACGCAGAGCCTTTGGGGTCAGAAAGTATTATCTGTTGTGTTCTGGTTTATCTACATTGTGACAGTGGTGGGCAACCTGCTCGTTGTCGTGACTGTCGTGGCCAGCCCCAGCCTGGATGCCCCAATGTACTTCTTTCTGGGCTACTTATCATTTATGGATGTTGCTTACTCGACTACAGTTACCCCGAGTCTGATCATCGGCTTACTGCGTGAGAGGAAAACCATTTCCTTCCAGGCTTGCATGAGCCAGCTTTTCACGGCACACTTGTTCGGTGGTGCCGAGATCCTGCTCCTGGTGGCCATGGCCTATGACCGCTACGTGGCCATCTGTAAACCGTTGCACTATTTGACCGTCATGAGCCAGCGCGTGTGCGTCGGGCTGCTGCTGCTGGCCTGGCTGGGAGGCTTCTTACACGCCGCGGTTCAGCTGCTCTTTGTTTACAACCTTCCCTTCTGTGGCCCCAACGTCATCGACCACTTCATCTGTGACATGTACCCCTTGCTGAACCTTGCCTGCACGGACACCTACGTCATCGGCCTGGTCGTGGTTGCCAACGATGGGGGCATCTGTGCGGTCATCTTCGTGCTCTTGCTCGTCTCCTACGGGGTCATCGTGCGCTCCCTGAAGGCCCCGAGGCAGGAGGGGAGGCACAAGGCTTTGTCCACCTGTGGCTACCACGTCACTGTCGTGGTCCTCTTCTTCGTCCCTTGTATTTTCATGTACGTGAGACCTCCTTCTACCCTCCCCATCGATAAGTCCTTGACCGTGTTTTACACCGTCGTCACCCCCATGCTGAACCCCCTCATCTACACGCTGAGAAACAGGGAGATGAAGAGTGCCATGGAAAGGCTCTGGGCCAGACAAAGAAAATGAGGGAGCAGAGAAGCGGTTCCCTTATTTTCAGTGAATTGTTCCTCCCAGGGAAGTCGTGTGTGGTGATTTAACTGCAGTAAGTGTCTCCTCAGGTTGAATGACTCGGGCGTGATGAAAAAACATTTATTATGTGAATACTTCCAGTGATTAAAAAGTGTTTATAAGATTTTTATTATTTCCTAGTCCAATATAGACGTTTTGTTTAAAAGTATTTTTAAGATTTTCGTCATTTGTTGGAAAAAATATGTTCAGTGTTTATGTGTAAAAAGTCTTTGTTGAGACAATAAATTTATGTTCTGTGTGACGAGCTCGCTATAGTTAATACTGTAAATTTACTTTAGTTAATGGAAGACTTTCTCATGTTTTCGCTCTTAAAAATATAACCTTTTTCAGAATTAATAGGGCTCATTACAGATTTCAGAAAATAAAATAAAAATTAAGATGTAAAAACTTGATTCACTTCTCCCCACACAAAGATAGCCCATATTAATACTTGAAGCAAATATCTTATTTTTGTATCTGTAAAATACTTTAAATGTATAATTTTTCATATTGCTTCTCACGAGAAGGTTGAAGGAAAATGATGTTTCAGAGTTCTAATGTTAATCACGAGGAGGCTAACTATATAAAAATAATCTGAATGAACAAGGCAGATATGCAGAAAAATAAATCATATATTTTTCTGTTTGGGAAATCATATAATCTTCTTATGTGGATCAACTCTGTTGTTATTATATTTTCATGAAGGTGATCCATTAATACTCCTAGATAATTTAGACTATCTGATAATTCTCCTATTTTTCAATAACCCACCTCCTTTTTTGCTTATAGTGTTTCATAACCTTCTGTAGGGACCCAGGCTCTGCCTTATATATGTAAAATTAGAATATTCCTTAATCCATGAGCTTCAAATATGCAATACAGAACTACAGATATTTTGGGTGATATCATTGTTAAGAAAGATGCTGACAATATATGCTATTTTTACCTCTCTTATTAATGGAATGCAGATTATTAGGTAACAAAGAGGCCAGGATATATTGTTTTATTTGAAAGTCCTCACTCATAACATCCTCTCTATGAATCATGCTTAAAACAAAACATTGCTTGCCTCTAAGATGGTAGGAAGCATGTGGTCAAAGAAACTGATGATTCTGCCTCTGTGTTTAGTCTGGATTCATAAGGGGCTAAGGCTAGGGGGCTAAGGGTCCTTCTCAAGGCTGAATCACACTGTACGAAAGCCTTGTATCCTGAGTTTTATCGCTGTTCTTATTACATGGAGGTTTCTTATATCCTCCCCAAATCTCCCCAAACATACGCTATTCATCAAGTAATATCGCCTTTAATTTTTTCATAACTTATATAAATAATTCTTCCACATTATTACAGAATGAATGTATGTCTCCTCCCCAAATTCATGACTTAAATGATTTATAATACGGTGGCATTTGGAGGTGGGCCGTTGGGAGGTGATTAGGTCATGAAGGTGGCGTCCTCACGAGTAGAATTAGTGTCCTTACAAAAGAGACCCCGGAGAACTCCCTTGCCCCTCACGCGGGTGAGGACACAGTGGGACACTGGTGTCCGCGAACCGGGAAGCAGGCCCTCACCGGGCGCTGAGTCTGCCAGCACCTTGAGCTGGGGCTCCCCAGCTTCTAGACCTGAGACGTAAATGTTTGATGCCTACCACCTAGTCTGGGGTGTTCTGTTACAGTCGCACAAATGGACTAAGACTTTTAGCTAGCTGCAAAAAAAATTAAGACATCCCTCTTATCTTTTAAACCTCTAATTGCAGAAGCCTTGACACCCTTCCAGCTGCCACCAGTCTCCTGGACCAAAACCAATGCCACAGGCTTTACATTTTCTTATGGAAACACCACACTTCCAGGTTTCACTTTTTGCTGGTTATCTTTTGCTACATGACTAAGACTCCAATTTTTGTAGCTTTAAAAAACAACTGTTTTATTTTATCTCAACATTTTGTATACCAGGAATTCAGGCAGAAGTTGACTGAGTATTTCTTCTGCTTCATGTGGCGTGGACTGAAGTCCCTCTGACTTCCCATGGTTGTCTTTCAGATGAGCTGCATCTGACCACAGTGTCAGGAAATTACTGAATCTCGAATTCCAGTTTTCAAAACAGGGTGTTGGTATTACGCTCCTGCCAAAGTCTCCAGGCTTCAAAGGTTCATATAGCAGGCACTTCTGAGAACACCTGAGCCCTGGGGTTATGGGTTCCAATTATATTGCATGAGTAACTTCCCGTTATAACTCACCTGGAGTCAGTGCCATTTCTTTCTTGTCACTAGGATGTGAAAGAGATACTAATGAATGTGGTAGGGTTTGTGGAATTCTCTAATGGTCACGGACCATGTTATTCCCATAAATTTGTCCAGTTGGCCTAGGCTTTGTATTTTGGCTAGATTGATCAGTCATAGTTGATTAATAATGTTTACCATAGCTCCCACATCTTCCCAGGCTTCTTCCTTTAAGGAAGTATTATGGTGTTATCAATGCAATAGATGAATTTATTTAGAGTATGTTCACATCTAAATTTCATTTCTAAAAATTATGACAATAGATGTGGCTTATAGAGAATTACTGTGGATTATTGTGTATTTTGAGGCAATGTCTGTATCAGTTAATATTTGCAATGTCTTATTGCAAAAAAAGTGTCTTATTGGAGCATATAAATTCAGCTTCTGGGCTATTGTAAACATAATATGATCTGGCAAATGTCTGTCATTCAGGTAAGCAGAAAGCATTAGTAACCCTGCATTCAGCTGGAAGGGACTTAGAGATTTAAACCTACGTACATAAGAGTTCTTCAGTTCTGAGTCATAATTTAGTCCACAGTAACCTTTATCATGCCAGATAGTTCTTCTAAACTAAGGATAGCTTCTTCATCTTTTGCCACGTACAGTTAAGAGACAAACAGTGCTAAGATGTACTCTTTAAATCTTAGAAGTAATACATGCAACTTTTAGGGTTGCTGGATTTCATCTATTTCTTTGTTAAGCTGGAAACCACCAACTTTTGGTGGGGTTCAGCACATCATGAAAATCAGCTGGTTCAGATAGGTATTTTATGTGTCTTTACCTAAGGCCCTAAGACCTTAGAAATGCAATATATGTGGATGTGGAGAGGCTCAGTGGAGCCCATAGTAAGCCGTGTTAAGGAAATAACAGTGGAAGCCATCAGAGATTTGATGTAGAGGCAGGCTCTTGTTGGAAAATAATTCATTTCTTATAGAAAGTCAGAACTGGACTGAAAATAAGGAACTGAATGAATGGCCTATAAATCATTATGGCTCTGCTGACATAGATTTAGGCCTTCAGAACTACACCACTGTGATTACTGTGTTTCAATAATTGAAACATCAACTTCAATAAATTCCCCAGCCCCAAGCTTCTCTGCCTCTGAGCCTCAGGGCCTCCCACAACTAGAGTAGGGACCCTTTTTTCTACGGATATGGCTGAATAAAGGAACCTAAGACTGGTTCTCCCTTCATTTTCACTTAAATATTATTTGCCTTACCTAAAGATTTCCTGATATGAAACCCATAATGCTTATTCACTTTACTTTTTTCTTTTCAAATTACAGGCTTTTCATATATTTGTCTGCTTGCTACTCTTTCTTGGCAAGACCTAAATCTTTTTTCTTTAAGGATTGTTCTAGGGGAGAAAACTGCAGAAGAGATGACTTCATTGGAATTTGTTCCAAATATTCTAATAAACTCATCTATAACGCCCTTATATAGGCATTATATACGCAGTCATTGGCTATTTGAGGAGGATAAATCCCAGCATTTGTCTTGTTAGTTACAGAGAGATTAATGGCGAGCGATGGGAATGTTATCCTAAATCCGCAAAGTAAAGTACTTTTTGGTTGCCTCGCCATAACTGACTGAGAAGAGGAACATTCAAATAATGAATTTCAGTGTCCTAAAATTTTGGGGGGTNGACTGAGAAGAGGAACATTCAAATAATGAATTTCAGTGTCCTAAAATTTTGGAGTTTTGTATTGGCAAATAATGGATTTGGCCAAGTTAATTTCCATGAATTTACCAGTTTTTCCATAGCCATGTGAACACAGCAGCTTTGTTTTCCTTTGAAGAAAATTTCCCAGCCGGTGAGAGTGCTTGACTGTGTTTGCAAGTAAACATTTATATTTTATTTTAGTGTCTTTCTGTTCTAGATCATCTGCAGTGGATATTGCAACCCTTGTCTGAAAGACTGAGGTGATGGGGAGTCTGTGTGGAAATATGGGCAGTGTGGCCACATGGAACTATTTCTAGATCTACTGATCAACTATTGTGCTCTGTGGTCACACAGAGATAGATACACAAGGTATCTACACTCACTCCCAGGGAAAGAAGCATCGATTTTAAAGACAAAGAGAGAGATCCATGGTGAATTCTTAAAACAACCAAGGGGTGTTCATATGATATATTTAAATATTGCTAATGTCTTAAATATATATTTTCATAGGAGGAAGTCTGAATTGAGAAAATTAAGCTAGCAAAACATAGAAACTAACCAGAATATACAAAATGACTGACTGTTGGGCCTTTGATACTTTTCTCTGTAGACAATCCACTAAGACTTAGAAATGGAACCTCTTACTTGTGTCCCCCCAAAAATCATCTGAAGAGAGACAGAATTGTAAAAGGAAGGCGTCATGGGCTACTAGGAAGAAGAACGGATAGATATTTACTAAAAGTTTATTGCGTGTAAACCCATGTAGAAGGTATACTAATGAAGATTTACTCCAAAACACAATGGATGTATTCGTAGTCCTGTTCACAGTTTCATTACAGGTTCCATCCTCCTCACCTCATCCCTGAAACAGGCTTTAGAGAAGACTAAATGGGACATAGTAACAATGCGACAGGATTTGTCCTGGACCTCACTCAGGATCCTGAGGGCCAAAAAGCATTATTTGTCCTATTTTTACTCACCTACATTGTGACATGGTGGGCAACCTGCTCACTGTGGTAAC